AGGTCGTGACCAAGGTCACATCCAGCGAGGTGTCCGCTTCCCTCAGCCCCCAAACCATTTAACGAGAGTGAGCAGAGATTGCTAGGACTATTACAGGTTGCCCAGAGAGGTGGTGGAGTATCCTTCGCTGGAGGTATTCCAAAGCCGTCTGGATGTGATCCTGGGCAATATGCTCTAGGTGACCCTGCTTGAGCAGGGAGGTTGGACTAGATGATCTCCAGAGGTCCCTTCCAACCTAAACGATTCTGTGATTCTGTGAATTAATGTAAATGATATGGACAGTGATAGACAAATGAGGTGATGGGTTTTGATTGATTTTAAAAATATCCAGGAGATAAATCTAAAAGTGATTTTTTTAATGTGTGCTACTGAGTAACTAAACAGTAGGTGAAATAAATGTTGAAAACTTCAAAACATGACACACGAGAAATGCTTTGTGTATGCCTAGTGTTTGGAAAAGTAGTCCTGAGACTTGATATGGAGAGTTCTCTGAAAATACCAGCTTGGTAGTCAGCTGCAGCAAAAAATCGAATGAAACATTAGGAACAGAGGGATGTTTTCTATTTTGTTTTCTATTATTTTGCTTTATAAATAGGAAGTGAACCTGTGTTTTCAACAGAGTAACCAGAGCTACATGCAGTATCTCTCTCACACGGTCTCTTTTGCACGTGCTCTTCCTTGTTCTCACTTTCTCGTTCTCTCTTTCTCTTTAAAAAAAAAAAAACAAAACAACAAAAAAAAAAACCTTACAACTGAAAAATCTTAGCATAACTAGGAAAGGAACAGAGGAGGGCAACAAGGTGATAGATGTGGAATCGCTTCTAGGTGATGAAAGGCTCTTTGTCTGACTCTTCAAACTGGAGGCAAGAAATATGAGTAAGATGTGAAAAATCATGAGCAGCCTGGAAAAGGTGACTAGGTAAAGAAAGTTATTTCTCATACTGCAAAAATGAGGTGACTCCGAGTAAAATTTTCTGACAGCAAGGAAAACAAGCAGAGGAAGTACCTTTTCATGAAAAAAAGTAATTGAGTTGTGGAATTCATCACCCCATCATGTTTTAGATGCTAAGATATAAACAAATTTTTAAAAGTACTCAACTAATTTATGAAGTAAAGTTCTGGTAATGACTTTATCACAATGACATAGATACAACTAGTGATATGAAAAGTCCATGAGCTACAGATAGCTATCCAGAAGTTAGGGAACTTCTGAGGGAAGAATCATTACATGTTTGCCCTGCTCCTGGGTGTCTGTTGACCCATATTAGGGACTGGACTCTAGGATAAACAGGTAAGGTGGCTGTCATAAGACTTAGCCACAGACAGATGTCCTCTTCCAGATCAATTGCCATAGCTGTATCTGCCAGGGGAGCAATTTGTGAGAGATCAGTTTTGAGCAATGTCAGGGCTAATTTAGATAAGCAGTTAAAAGTATTTTGAAGTTCTCAGATGAACAACTCTGCCAGCAGATCTGTGAGGATGGTAATTGCAGGTGAAAGGAATGTCAGTGAGGAATGGTATCTATGACAGACAGCTTGTCACGGAGAAGACCTCAAAGGAAGAGAAAACTTTCACTTATGGAGTCTGGGAGAATGTGTAAGCTTGCTGAGCTTTTCTTAGAAGCCTAATATTGCTAGCAAAGCAGTTAAGAATTTTAAGTTTGGTGGTTTAGTTTTCCTTGTTCAATGTATTACTATGCCAGAAACCCAAAGAATGAGGTATATATCTAGTAATAACGGAATATTAACGCTTTGGAGAGTAGCAAGATGAATGTGATTCTACATATGGTGAATGGTGCAAATGATCCTACCAGGAAGTACTGCTTTTCCTTGCTCCATAAATGAGAATGTTATGGCTATAAAGTGGATTTATTTTTTATCTTTTGTTTCTTTGTGTTTATAGTTCCTCTGATGAGGATTTTTTTTTTTTCAGATGTGTGAACACAATTGAACTGAACAGTTCATAGTTTACAAAGTGCTGCTGGAATTCATGATGATTTAGAGGCTTCAGGAAGAAATGATTTGATTTAAAGACACAATCCTCCACTGTCACATCGATACAAATTTGTCCTTTACTTGCAGTGAGAGCAGGGTCAAGCCCGGATTCCTAAGACGACTGTCTAGATTTTCAAAATTAGTTGTAGGCTTGTTAGTCAGCATCCTAATTCAATTTTCATATTTCTCTTCCCTTTCACTGGCACAAACATGTCCATTAGCACAGGAAATCCTGTTTGGGGTCCTGTCTGGAATCTCCTTATGCCCCTATTATTAGTGCAGTCAGTTGGTAACCTGTCTAAACCTGATCTAGACATGTCTACTCCTTCTCTTCCTGTCCAGCAGGTTGGTTTGCAGTACTCTGTCTTCCATCTCCAGCTGCTGTTTTCAGTCAGTCCAGCAGCAGCGCGCTTCTCACTGTCACTAACGTGATCTGTGAACTGCAGTAAATGTACTCTACTGACTGCTTGCCTAAAATAACGTCAGTCCAGCCTCTGTTTTAGTGTGTCTGTTATTTTGCTTTCCCTGTTGTCCTGACCTCCCAACACAACACTGATGACCTATGGACACTTTGTTTTAGTGACCACATTTACTTGGGACTCTGACTTGGCGCTGTAGAGCTCCTAGTCCCTTAGAAGGGAACGTTATCGTGTGGACTTTTGCCACCAAGCTGTCAGCTCTTTAAGAAGATTGCAAACTGGTTGGTTGTATTGTGTCAGTCTGAGGTCTTAAAACTATAGTAAACCCAGTATTGCCCAGGGATTCCTTTACATACATGCCTTGGCATCTTGGAAGGTCATCTTTATCCAAAAAACAGCCCTGTGTGAAGCACAGTGAAGCTTCATAGTATTCGATGCCACTTGTGTTATAGTTGTTTTTAATCATATTTTTGTTTTGCAAGTTAATTTCCCCCTGCTCTTCTTTCCCATAGTTACTCTTGTTCCTTTGTCAAACTCTGCTCCAGTTGTAAAATCCGCGTTTGAAACTCTTTGCAGACAACGCATGGTGCCCAATGATAATGGCTTTGGAGTGAACGAACCTCTGCCCTCCTTTAGTGTGGACTCCTAATGTAATGGTTATCTTTTTCTGTTCATTATGTCTGAGTTCATGTTTTCTTGGCTATGTTGACTCTTGCAGAGGCACAGTGAATAGAATGCAGGTAGAACTTATTACTGAACTTAGCAGCTGGAACTCTCAGTGCATAGAGGCCAAGATTTGAAAGAATGAATGGCAGTTTTAGGGTTCTTAACTTGACATCATTAAGGGGTCTGTCTGATAGCCTCTGCAAGAGGGATTAGTTTATGTGACTGTCTGCTGTATGAAGAGATTTGAGTCAGTCACCTTAGAAGTCCCTCCCAGTCTTCTGTACTGGATTTGAACTCTGAAAAATTAAGTATAACCAGAGTGATAATTGCCAAAGGCATTGGTGGTTCTTGTAGTTGTCATTCAGAGGGAAGAGATATATGGAGTGGAAATGTACCAGTTTAGCATGGTTGCTTTTAAAAGTGGAATTGTCAGTTAAATCCTCATGTGTTTTTCTGGAACTGTTATAATGCTATGCATATCTTTCTTTAAAATAAGAACTGCGGTGCTGCCATGTTGGTGTGTCAGATGTCCAGAACGGCTAGGTTGACAGGACATCGTTTTATACTTTATTAATAATTTGAATGGTATGAAGCCTGAAGAGGTGAAAAGGAGCTTTCCTTCTCTTCCCTTTGCACACAAAAGGCTGGATGCTCCTAAGTGTGTGATGTCCTTAGATGACAGAGGATGCTTGCTAATAGGATACGCAGTGTTTCATCTCTGGATCACTGGTTCAAACCCAGGTCAGGTCAGTAGTAATAAAGTCACTACTGTTGTTATCTGGCTTGTGAGATGAGGTGAAGTGTGTGTCTGAATCTGAAACCTAGGTAACTATATCATTTCTGCTTTTATATAGCTGATTGGAAATACTAAAAAATTGTGATGCCGATATTATAAAGAAATAAAAGACGTGTAAGGCCCGCTCGCGCTGCAAATAACGATTACTGGCTGATGTGAGCTGTCCTCAGGTTCCCTCTGGTGGCTGAGCAAAGCGTGTGACTGCAAGCCCTGCAGGAGGCATTTGCTGCCTTTAACCTGTCTGGATGTACACTGAGTTTTTATCCTTCTTGAGGAACCTGCACAAAATGAAACCTTTGTCATATTTAGAGGATGGTCAGTATTTTCAGGTTTGCTGTGCTGGCCACCATCAAATTTCTGGGCACTGTGTGAAACCGCTATGTGATAGATGACCGTATATATCGGCTGCTTGAAAGCGCTCAATTTCTTTGACTTGTAAAGCAAAAGAGCTTTCAGATGCAGGCTGAAAGAACTGCATCTGTTGAGATTCTCTCCTTTTTCAAAGCACAGAATTGTAATGCAAATTGTGAAAGAAGTCTGAAGTAAAGTGAGGTTGGTGGTTATCTGTATTATGCTGCAGTAAGGGAAAGGATCCGTATGAAAAAGTGTGAATCAGGGAATTACTAATGATTACTAATTTTTCTTCTTTATGAATGCTGTGCTTTCGTTATAAACAAAAATTGTTGCCTTGGTGTCTGTGTGCAGCTGTTTGGTCAGTTGCTGTTGACCAAGAGGTCATGTCACTGGAAGTCACTGATGGTGGGTGTTGTCAGCCTTCAGGAGTGGCTGGTGCAGCAGATAAGTCAAGAATTGAACGGAAGCTGGTCTATGTTTCTCTCAAGAGGTGATATTTCCAGGTCAAGTTAATATATTTTTGATATTTAATCTATTTATTTTATCACTTAGGCAGTTCATTGTTTTACTGTTCTGGGGATGAATAGAAAGCTTGGTTTCCTGAATTGGGCCACTGTCATCTTTACCTCATTCCAGAGTATATATGTGAGGTTTCAAGTGTTCCATGGTCACAGTGGTTGCTGCCAATGCTTGTTCGTTATCGAGTGACTTATGAAGCATATGCATGTGCTTGGAGTGCAAGCTAGTGCCAGCTTTAGCTACTGCTAATTCATTTTCTTTCTTGGTCAAACTTTCTTCTACCACTGACTCTCTGGTGTATAGGAATATGGTAGCTCCTACTTTTCTGGATTCTCCTATCCTTGCCCAATCTCTGTTTGTGGCTGAATCTTGTGAAATACGTCTGCTACAGGATGTGCATGTTTGGTCTTAACTTCTTCAGTTGTACTGGGAGGAAATGAGCAAGACTTTAATTAGCACAGTCTTGTCCATATGGGGTAGTTACGTTTTTGATAAAGCCTGAGATGTAACCACTAGTCATATGGTTTATTTGTATACCTTCCTGGCCTCTTTCTGGTTAAATGACCTACTGAGCAAGTGTTCTCCATTTTAGCTGATATTGCTTGAGCAAGGCTCGTATTTAAGTGAGAAAATCATCCTTGCACTGGAATAAGAGTACTGACCAACACTAAGTGTGATGTTCTAAGGCAAGTTTTACTAGTTGATAGTGTTATAACAGATAGAGTTACCCTGGTTACGGAGAGGAGTTAACAAGATTGGGTAATGCTGGTATAACTGTACCTGCTCTAACTGTTTGAGACCGAGTGGCACGTGGGAACACTTCCAGCTACAGCCAACTTCATGGGAGGAGAGGCCCGAGGTACAAGCTGGATGGGAGCCCAAATGTATTTCAGCCAGGTCTGTGATCTGGACGACATGGGGAGCCAAAACAGAAATGCGTTGTCCTTTCTCTGCAATTTAGGCGTAGCTAGTGTGACCTGGTCTCCAAAGGGCAAAGTGATTCAAGATCCTGGGTAAAAAGCACAGCAGTCTTGCATCCTGATTTTGTCCAAAATGAGCAGAATTGTGTTAGATGCTGCCCAAAGTGCAACAGTGCTTGTGTTCGGAGAGGGGCCAGGCCAAATGTGACTGTGGATGTAGTTTAGATTAAGAAGGCAGTTCTGGTTCTTGGCACGTCCCCTTGCAGAAACGGTCACATTTTAGCCTGGGTTTCACAAACATTTCTGACCAGAAAAAATTACTGACAGCATCGACTTCCAGACAGCTGTCAGGCACGTGATACTTCATAGATGTGCTGCTGCCATGGTTTAGCAACACTGACCTTGGTACTGTCTCCTCACGTTTCCCATCTTGTTTTCCAGATCTAGAGGCAAACGGTGATCTAAGCAGTGATGACTTTGAATATGAAGATGAAGCGAAGCTTGTTATATTTCCTGATCACTATGAAATCTCATTACCAAACATAGAAGAGTTACCAGCACTGGTCAGTGAGTGTGTGAAATTGGTGATACTAATTGTCGCTCACTTCCCTTTTTATCAAGATTGTCTTTTGTTTTCTTGTGTGTTGTGCTCGTTTTTACGTAAGGGCCTCTCCTCGCTTACAGTAGAGGTGCCGGCATTTTAAAAAGTCTGTTTTATCTTTGTTTCTTGGATTTTCTTTTACCTCCTTTGTTCCTACCCTTACTGTAACACCAGCTTGTCCCACAGAAACTCACATAGCATGTGTTGGTGTGCTTACTCTCCTGCTATAACAATAATAACAACGGCAATCTAGCGAAATACTTGCATGTTTATCTGATACCTAGTTATGTATGTGCTTAGCAACTGGACTGGGCACCAGCTTCTGTCCAGTCACTGAATTGTGTTAGGTTGCGAGTTTAACATACCCGTGTTTTCCAGGTGACAATAGCTTGTGATGCACTCCTCAGTGCAAAATCACCCTACAGGAAGCAGGACCCTGACTCCTGGGAAGAGGAACTTCAGGCATCTAAACACGCCAAAACACTTGTGCAGTTAGACAATGGTGTTAGAATTCCACCCAGGTGAGGGTAGCAAGGTTTGTTCATTGTAGGCTGTCCAGTGCACTCCAGAATAAAAGAATTAAAGCCAACAACTCGGGCAGCAATTTTTTTTCTTGCATGCCTCCTGGCAGGACGTGTATGTTTGGTTTGACGTGCCATAATAGTTTGGGAATGCAGGACTGGCTCGTGTCTTACTCTTTATTTTTTCCCTTATTTTCTCTTGCAGTGGTTGGAAGTGCTCAAAATGTGACCTGCGGGAAAATCTGTGGCTAAACCTGACAGATGGTTCGGTGCTGTGTGGGAAGTGGTTCTTTGATGGCACTGGAGGAAACGGGCATGCACTGGAACACTACAAGGAGATGGGATATCCCCTGGCAGTGAAGTTGGGAACCATCACTCCTGATGGAGCAGGTCAGCTGCCTGCTGGCTTCTGAGATGGAATGTCTTTTGTGCATGAGACTAACAGTGTATATCCATTATCAAGTGGGTTTGTGCCTCCAAAGTAAATATTTGAGAGTCTGATATGAAAAGGAAACTCCATGAGTTTGTGAATCCTGGGGAGGGAGGGAACACGCTCCATCTGGAGAAAGTCGAAGCCCTTACCTTTTTCACACGCTCTCCTCTTCCTGTTTTATATATGATGCAAATGGGTTTTTAGTTTTGTCTAATGGTAGGTTCATAATAGATTGGGAAGAATGGTGGTATTTTGAAGCAGTAGAATCTTGAGAACCAGTATTTTTCAATTCTGCTGCATTTGGCTATGCAAAAAAGGGCAAATGGTTCAATCGTATGCAACACAGAAGTAACAGCAGAGTAAACAGGCAGAAAACTCCATTCTTACTGGCGTGTCTTTTTTTTTTTTAATGGTAGGTTCATAATAGATTGGGAAGAATGGTGGTATTTTGAAGCAGTAGAATCTTGAGAACCAGTATTTTTCAATTCTGCTGCATTTGGCTATGCAAAAAAGGGCAAATGGTTCAATCGTATGCAACACAGAAGTAACAGCAGAGTAAACAGGCAGAAAACTCCATTCTTACTGGCGGGTCTTTTTTTTTTTTTTTTTAATGTTGTGGAAATCTTGCCATTTTTCCTTGTTGGTTCACTAACATTTTGTTCCATCTAATGAATGCTCATCTTCATGGGGCTCCTGTGATGTAAAAAAGCCTGAAGATCCTGGGAGGGAAAAAGTTATAGCAGTATCCTTGTTTGCATATGCAGCATGTGACATTCCACAGTGATGCTGTGGAGAAGATTGTGCTGTGTGAGAATTAGGCAGAGCATAAACATGAGGAGCTGAAGAAGTCATAAGCAAAGAGATCCTTTTCTGCAGCTCTAAGGAGTAATGAAAAGGGAAAAGAACAGATAGTGTGATTATGTTTGTTTTCTAGTGCTCATGGCCACATGGATGAAAACCAGCTGTTTGGAGCAGCCTCTTTTTTTACACACATCAGTGAGCATTTTTCATCTTTTAAGTCGTATTTAGTTTCAGAGAAAAGACACTGTAGTTAGATTCACCCAGCTGTGCCACAGAATCACTGAGTGCAATTCTTTCTCTTCTCTCCCAGATGAAATATTGCTTCCTTGTGCGAGTCTGGTCTTGGATGATTTCTGCCTGAATCTCTCAAATATTGAAGATAGTTGGTATTTAGGATTTACCCAGTTGCAGAGTTCAAATTCATCTAGAAAAGAAACAGTATTCTTTATTGTTTGTTTCAACGGGATTTTTGGCATCTTTAGCAGCAGTACGTATTTCCTACGGCTGTTCCCCTTCTGCCTGCCACCTATCAGCTGCGTCCTGTCTTAGGTGGCCTTCAGGATAACAAAGGACAGGCTGTCATCCTTCCATCTGAATGAGGGGCTGCAGCTGTTCTCCACAGGCCTTTGTTCTTGTTCTGGATGATGTTAACTTTGTTTCTCTATAGAAAAGACTCCCTTCCCCAACTCTCCTTGTTTCCTTTTCAGTAATTACTCTCTCTGATCTATACTGCAAAGGTAATCGTAATTGCTCTATAGGGCTGGATGACAGATGAGCCTCAGAAAAGAGGCTCCGAGGCTGGATATGACTCAGTCTGTCTGCTTCCTGCTTCCCTGGCCTGGGGGTGAAGAGGTGACGGTAGAGGAGTAATAAATGTTAGATCCTCTGCTGACTTGCTCTCTTTTCACACTAATAGGAAGGAGAAAGAGGTATTGGCACTACTCCACTTATTCCTACCCTACTTATGCACAGAGGGAGCAGAGGCATAGGCAGGAGAACTCTTCGTCTTTTCTCAGGAAATCTCAGTGTTGCATAAATCGTGACAGATTTCTGGGGTGTTAGCCTCATTTTGTAGCCTATTGTCGACAAATAGATCTGGGACCAGCTCAGAAATTGAACGAAACTTCTAGCTTCCAGTCTGGGATCTCAGATAAGATGCACGAGAGAGTCAGAAAAGTTGCATGCTCCTCCGGGTTCTTCCTGACGGACTGCTACCCTTCTAGCTTGACAATGCCACTAGGTTTCTTTTCAAGTCATTGTGAGGTTACACGCCTGAAACTGGTTTGAGGACTAAAGAACGTGATGAAGGTTGAAAGTAGGAGGCCCTGTCAAACAGATTGAATGAGTTGCTTTGTGAATGCCAGTCACAGCAACTGTCAGATTCTTCCTTGGTAGATCCTGGGAAGCTTGTTTCTTAAGGGACAGCCTTACCAGTACCTTGTTCTTTAAGTGGAATGGAGTGATGCCTATACAGCTAGAATAGGCATAAATCTTGAACTCTAGAAGAAGAGGATGTACAGGTAGCATTGTATGCTTTACAATGTCATTTTTCTTTTCTTATCATCATCATAATAATTATTCTCTGTTTAATAATGTTCTGTGGTGTCTAATTCAGATTTTTCTTACTTTCTTCTTTTTTTCTGTTCTTCTCTTCCCCCTTCCCTTTCCCACACGTGTGATACCAGGTTACGTTCATCATATTTGTTGAGCTGTCTACACTCTATACCTACCAGAGTCTGTGTCAAAGCACTCCAGACCTGTCTGTGGGGTTCTCATGTTCTTGCTTTAATTAGCTGCTCGCTGACTTTTTGAAATAGGTGAATTCTTTCTCATGAATTTAAGTTGTCCACACAAATGAACGTGCTAAAGTATATGACACAAGAGCAGGGATTGAGCAAAGATTAACGTGTGTCTTGCGTTCCGTTTCTGCTGCTGTGGATCAGCAATCTCAGGTGGCTGCTCTCTCTTCAGTTGCCAGAGCTGAGGGAAAATAAAATCCAAGCTTTCGTGTTAAAGGCAGTCACGCAAGATCAGTTGATGTGTAATCTCGCTCTGATAGGTGTTTGAACTTTGCAGGGTGTTTTGGCTGTGCGGTGACCTCATCAGAAGAGTATGGGAATGTTGTGAGCTCTTGTGTATGTGTGACCTGTAGTGTTTTCTGGGAATGCTTGCTGCCATGCAATGGAATTCCAGCAGATGTGCAGCTAAAGCCACGTGCGTGCCAGGCGGGTCACCCGGGACATTTGTTAATAGAGGGAATGATGGCTAACCAGCAGCTGGCGGCATGACTCATGAGCACCATTCCTTGATTTTAGAGATTTAACATTTTTCATAGGGCTGGTAAACTTTAAAAGTTGCGTTCAGTCTTAGAACACTGGCTAACCCTCAGCCTATCATTTCAGCATGGGGTTTGGTTCTAGCACTCTTCAAAGAGACTGCCTTCTAGTTAGAGTCGTATATAGGTGATGGGCTGAGTCATAGCCAAGGTCTACAGTTGCCAGGAGAGGGCAGGACGAGGACTCTTCAGAGGTGGTATTTATGCGGTGAACAGCCTTTGGTCTGGGTTCTTGTTCTCTCCAGTTTATTAATCCTGTTTTCTGGCTCTGATTTCTCTGTCAAGCTAGGACTAGTCATATGGGGCAGGGGTGCAATGTGATGACTCCACTGGATGTGAAGAAAACTTGGCTGAGAAAAGTGCAGATATACTGGCAGAGGGGCAGGGGATTCTGGGTTTTGGTAAGTGGGTAGATGAGAGCAGGGAAGTCCAGTAATAAACTACAGAGGAAGAGGGCAGAGAAGAGAGAAGATAAAAGGCCTGTTCAGGTCTTCGTAGTGCATGTCCTATCACTCGTATACGTACATGATGCCTGCAGCTTTGTTGTTGTTTGGTCGCGTAGGTGAAACTTGCTCTGGACTCAGCTTCACGATGGGACTTGCTTGGTTAGTACTGAAAATGAGCTGCTCTTTTTGTCCTTCTATTGGATTTACTAAACTTGATTTTGTAAGGAAGACATAATCACTAGATATATTACTCTTCTCTTCAATTTGAGCTTAGCCCTGCCAAATCCTTTTTGTGAGTTTACCTAAGGCCACAAGGACCGATGACAGAGGTAGAACTGAAACCCAGATCTTCCATATGATCAAGTAAGACAGCCCAGTCTCCAAACCAGCCTTTCCTCCCTATCAGTGAGATCAACCGTTCAAGTCCAAGTTATTTCTAATAAAGCATCTGTCACTTGAATTTGCAAGCATTTCTCACATTTTCCTGCATCTCCACAGGAAAAGGGCATAAGAGAATTCCTTGAGCTGTAATAGAAATTAAAAAAAAAAATGGCAGTAGTCAGTTGGCTTCATATACCGACAGTTTTAATGTGCCTGCGTGTATCTGATAGCTCCATAACAACTCAGAAGTTCTTGTTGCTGCGTTCAAAATGTAGAGTGACCACATATCTGAGAATTTTGTGCGTGTTGTTCCTTGTTTGTCCTACTTATTTTGGGGGCAGAAATACTGTAATAATTGTAAGTATTCTTAGGCTTAGATTTTAGTACTATGAGGGGAGGTAATTCCTTTTAAGGAGAGTAGTTGAAGTGTGAAAATTTGAGGTATTTACTAAGCTATGTGGGTGTGTATGTGTGCGTTTTTCTGCAGATCCTAACCAAGCCTGGAGAATGCAAGTAAGGTATTTTGTATAGGTGCTCCTGTACCGAGAATGCAATGTTGGTTTTGAAAAAGAAGAGATAATGTTTGGTGCAAGTTGTCATCTACTTTTCTTTGCTTTTGTAGATGTCTATTCCTTTGATGAAGAGGAGCCGGTTTTAGATCCACATATAGCAAAACATTTGGCACATTTTGGAATTGATATGCTGCAGATGCAAGTGGTAGGAAATCCATCTTTTATTTAGGTTGTTGTCAGCTCTTCTAGCTGGGGGATGGGGACAGCAGAAAGGTCATAACTGTAGATATTTAGTTTTATAACGAGTTCTACCAGCCTGTCCGTGTTTTATTCTGGAGTTCTGACACAGAGTGAATCCTAAAACCCAAATCTGAAAATTGCTTTCCAAAAGAGTTTGTAGTCTATAGTTTACATGCTTCACATGTAGTATGTTATGTACCATTTTCCTCAAAGACAAGAAAAGTCATTCAGTTAGAGAAGAATTTCTGAAATATTTAATGGCAGTGAGTGATACAGTTAATAAAAGAAAGCCTATTGCATGTGTGAACATAAAAGATCTTAAGCAGAAATAAGTAAGAGCTAAGTAAAAACATGATTACCAGGTTATTTATATCAAGCGATACGTTTCAATGTAGGTCTTGTTAATACATTACAAAACCAACAAATACATACTGTCCCTCAGTCTAGAAGACAGTGTGAACTATGGTATGGTGCGCTAGAAAGAGGCTTGGGCAAAGAGGATCCTATTTGTTGCAGATACAGACCAGCAACAAGCTGGGCCCTATCAGTGGAAAAGTCCTTCTCCCAATTTCTGTCTCAGTGGATGCTGGTTCCGGTTCTGTTTAGATAATCTAAGAAGTCTGAATGGATTTTGGATATAAAGGCAGGTGTTTTTATTTATTTTTTCATTCAAGCACGTAGCCTAGAATGACTACCTGAGAACCTAAACATGAAAACTGTATTAGAAAGGAACGAGCCTGGTAACTGGTTTAGTCTATTTCATTGTCCAAGTCAAGAGAAAACCAACAATAAACTGTAAAATAGTAGAGAAGAGTTGAACTGTATTTCAAAAGCCCTCATGGTACTAACAGACCTTATTTTTGGTATGCCGATTTTGTTGCCAATATCATGAGTGAAATATTTCTTTTAGCCAGAGAGGCTTCTGGAAAACCTGTTTTGCTCAGGAAGCTTAAAAACTTTGTTACCATGTCAGCTGTGATGAAATGAGAATCAGAACTTACTCACTTGGCTACAGCAGGGGTCTCGCCTCCTGTCTTCCGACCAGTCTGTAAAATTATTAGTGAAGTGGTGGAGTAGTGCCAGCAGTAAATGAGACAGCGTAGTGACCTCTACTAACAAGCTGTGTACATACAAGCTGAAGGCTGAGCTTTGAATGGGAGAAACTTCAGCATCACAAATATGGGCTTTCCCATGTGAATGAAGGGAAGAGTTCCTGGATCTGCAGCTTTCATCTGTCTTATTTGTTGGGATGGTTTTCTGGAGCAGCAGCTATTCCTGGCCATTACAAATGCAATACAAAACCTGAAAAAAAATGCAGTGTTTTTGTGCGGAGGTTTGAGTTCACAGCCCTGAAAGAAGAGGGACTCCCAGCTGAGACTGAGGTCGCATCTAGAAACGTGCAAAGACCCAGTGCTCTGAAGCAGAGCGTTAATTGTACGGACAGGGTAATGCTGGAAGAGCAAGCTGCTGGTGTTCTGATCCTGATCTCTTCCCCTACATGGAGGATTTACTTCCTTTTTCCTGTTGATTTGGCTCTTCTTTTCTGGTATATAGTTAGTGATAATGATAGCAGCATTGTAGTAATTGTTGCTGAAGGTGGGTTTTTTTTTTTAAGAGAACGTCCTTCTTGCTTTCAGACTGAGAATGGGCTAACAGATAATGACATCAAACCAAGAGTCTCTGAATGGGAAGTGATTCAGGAAGCTGGTGTGAAACTCAAGCCCATGTATGGCCCAGGATATACTGGCATGAAGAACCTTGGAAATAGCTGCTACCTCAATGCTGTCATGCAAGCCATTTTCAGCATCCCAGAGTTCCAGCGAGCGTACGTAGTTCCACGCCAGCTTTTCTTACTAGCTGCTGCGTTCCCCAATCTCTGTTTTTCTAAGCAAATAGTATTTTAATTTTTGCCTCTCCTACAAACAGGCCTCTCTCTGTCAGTTCAGTGGCCGCTTAGAAGTAGTGATTATGTTGTTCTGTGATGGAAAAGATTGGAGCCCAAAACCCCACTTGTCTTGGAATTCAAAGCTTGCTTTGTTTTCAGTGGTGGAGAATCATATGCCACCTTGCCAACTTAATTGCCCCGTCCCTGTTTTTCATTTATAGATCAGTATCACAACAGATAGTGCTGTGGTTGTGTTTGGTTTTTTTTTGTTTTTGTTTTTTTCTCCTGCTGGCCCTTGCCTTAATGTAGTTGCAGAAATACAAATTCTATTCCTACAGTGTCATTTATGCAACCACGCTATATTGGTACAACTATGTCAATGTTGATTCACGCTAATATGAAACATTGCACCTTTTGCATACAGGCATGGCTAAGAAGAGGGAAAGTATACTAGCTAGAGGTATTTTTTTGATTAAAACTTGAGTTTAAAAAAAAATCATTTCATAGTAAGGGTAGTGTGAGCATATTCTTCTGCTGAATAATAAAAAGAGAAAAATAAAAGCGTTTTTGCTTGTGTCTGCCTGTCATTCATCACAAGCGTGACAGAAGACAATAAAATATTCTTGACCGATCAAAGCTGAACGCTCGTCCTCCCAAGAAGGGAAACCTTTTTATGAAGGACAGTCTATGATTTGCAATAAAATTCAGTGTGTTTTTTTGAAATGAAGTACAATGAAGTAGCACACGTTCTGGAAGTGATGCTTTTAGATCTTGGAAAGCCTCCCAGGTTTTCATGTAGCAATTGCCTTCTGGAAAACGAGGTAGAAAACCTGGTTTTGTTAGCCATACGGAGCACAGTCTGTAGACTCATTAATTGCCAGCTTTTCTACCTCCACTTTAGAAAAAACATCAGGATGGACTTTTCTAAGGGAGGTTATTTACTGTGGCGTGATCCTTGGAGTAGCCTGGAGCATTTGCTATCAATACAGCAGTGGAAATCTTTAACGAAAGATGGATCTAGTAGAACTTAGATGCCTTCTTTCAGCATGGCCCTGCCTACCTAACCTGTTGTGTTGAAATGAAGCAATGCTCAGACAGAGAGCTACTAAAAGCTTTGCTTTTCAGCAAACTGACTAAGACAATATCTACCTCAGTGTTAACCTTCATTTCTCTCAGGAAGTTGCTCAATAAAAACTTTTCTTTGTATTTTGGTCCTGATGTAAGTGGAATTTAGTTGGCAAAGTTGGTTAGGATTGGGAAGTACCTTGGTTCTCAACCTAGTTCTGTTTTTTTGAGCAAAACCTCTTAGGATGGTGAGAGGCAGAGATACTATAGTTACTTCATGAAGATGTTTAGAGGCTTAATTATGGTAAATAACGTGTGTTGGAATGCAAGCTGCTAAAAGTAGATTTGTTACCTAGTTATCCCCTTAGAGGCAGAGAAATGCTAAGACATGAAGAACTGGGAGAATAGCTCAGATCATGGAAGAGAATATAAACCCTAGAGGAATAACAGTGCCATATGCTTTCTATCTGGCTAGAAGTGAATAAGCAAAACTCAAATGTCCACTTCCTGGTTTCTTTACTATGTTTTTTGAATGATAGAAGCGCTCACTAGGGCTAGATTAAGTCATTGCCATGATGCAAAGTTTGACTTGCCAGCACAGCGGGAGCTTGCTGAAATATCACTGCAGTATCTATTAGGGTATCTCTAAGTAAATCTTTCTGTGATATTTGAATGTTTCTGCTTTGTTCTTGCTATCCAGGTACGTGGGAAGCCTTCCAAGAATATTTGACTACTCCCCTCTTGATCCAACACAAGATTTCAACACTCAAATGTAAGTGACGCTTTTGAATGATTTATTCTGTCAGGTTAAATAGAATCTAAATAACGTAGTGGTAGGGCAAAAGAGCATCTCAGCATGGGCTTGCAAGTGAGATTTGGCATAGGGTGGAGTGTGAAGCCCTGCCTTCTTAGTTATGGATAATTATGTTTTCTCAGGGTGTCAAACGTAGTAAATTTCTTTTTTTCTGCAAAAATGTCTTCTCCTATTTTCTATTTTTTCCCTGTGTATTTGATTTCCACTACCACCTCCCACCCCTTCTTTCCCCTCTCTTTTTCTCTGCAGGGCTAAACTGGGACATGGCCTCCTTTCAGGCCAGTACTCTAAGCCACCCATGAAATCTGAGCTTATTGAGCAGGTGATGAAAGAAGAACACAAGGTATTTGAATGAGCTTGTGCAGCCTGGTAACTAGGTAAAAGTGATATCCCGAGAAAAGGGAACAGGTGCTGGGCATCGGAGAGCACGGGTGGATCCAGCATGGGATGCTTAGCAAGGTGGAATGTGCAGGATTCTAGTCAGGAGTATATTAGTCAGGGGCTATTTGTGCAAAGCATTAAAGCAACCATTGGTTCTGCTATTAAAGTATTCTGCTGCTCCAGTGGTGAGTGCGAGAGTTAGTAGAACTTATGTTATGTGGATCATGCCTGAGGGATGAAAGAATGTTGTTTAGAGAGTCCTAAAGTAAGTCCTAAGTTTAGAGTAAGTAAACTTCCAAATCCTTTCTGAGATCCCAAAAGAAATATAAAAGCCTAAAGAAGCTGTCTCCAGTGAGGTGTCTGACAGAATTCCACCTGATTTCAGAAGAAGCTGTCTAGGTAACGTCAGTGGTGCCGGAGGTTTTCGTGACTGTGAAGGAGGTGCCATTCAGAGCCAGATCCGCTAAGGACTGGTTCAGGTGTTTTATGGTACAAAAATACTGCAGAAGCATGTTTGTGCCTATGGGATCTAACCTGAAAACATAGTAACAGGTGTGATTTTTGGATACAAATTGAAACTCTATTTGCTGGACGTCTGGGGGGAAAAAGGTAATTTTAATTCCTCGTTTGTAATAATTCAAAGCAGAAGAAAACTTGGAATCAGCTTTCTGAGAAGAGACAGTTTCAGAACAAAGATATGCCAAGGGAAGTATTGTGTAGCTAAGGTGCCAGACACAAAAGAGAGAGGAAGTGCAGGAGGAAAGAAACTTTCCCATGTTTGTATAATGAAGGATTTCATTTCTCTCTCATAATGAGTGCTACCAGTAGGAGGCTCTCCTTCTGCTTTTGCTGTAATTGGCAGTAATTTTGCAGCACAACAGATACTCGGCTCAGTATCTGTTGATATATAGCTTCAGAAACACCGCTGCTGTTGGTTTGATAATCTTGGTATTGCTTTTGTGCTGTTCTGCAGCATGAAAGTTGCCTGGTTTTCATACGTTGCAAAAATCATCACGGTGTGTGTTTGGCATTGTAGCATCCACAAAACTGTATCTTCATTTGTCTGTTTTTTCCTCCTTCAGCGATGAATACTTGTAGTCATCAGAAAACCTATTCATGTTCTCTTTGTCCTACAGTCTTTTGATTTTTTTTTTTTTTTTTTTTTAACAGTAAGGATAATTTTTAACCAAGACGCAACTTATCTGTTGTTGTCAACAAGGATCATGGGGCCAGCTTGATTCCTTGGTTTATCTTTTTACCTCTTCTTGCTCGCTTTTGTGAAGAAAAAATGTCAGTAGTTTAGTGGTGAGATGGAAAAGTTTCCTCTCTTCTTGTTAGTCGTTGTAAATTTCCCCCGCTTTGAAGAGTGAAAATAATGTTAATTCAGGTTTCACCTCTCTGTTTAAACACCTTTGTTTCTCCTCTAGTGATGCATTTAAGCAAAACATTAGTTACTGGGACAGTGTTATCCACCCAGATGAATCTGTTGATTTTAGAGTTGTTTTACTATGCAAACGATATACTTTAAAACATCTTGTTCAGAGGAATGCTGGGAAAATAGGTCCCAGATTATATCTGTGTCCCTGCCGACCTCTGGTACTGTGACCCCACGCAGCATGTGAAATGAAACCAAAGATTCCAAGGATGGAATATTTAGAAAGGAAAGGTCAAATAATAACCAATACTGAAAATACTGTATGTAGAGAAGACCTTTTCTTCATTAAAAAAGTATCTCTGAGACCAGTTAATATTTTTAGAGACAGTAAAAGTCAGGCATGCTTCTGTCACAGAAACATGATGATAGTTTCCATGGAAATAGATATTTTACTCTACCTTTATCAGTTATTGATAGAGGGATTTCTCCTTTTAGACTTAGAATACCTGGGAGCTCTTGGACAAAGGTCATCTGGTACACAGGTGAAAGCCCCATGTCTCTTGAGCAATTGCTTTGTGCAGTACCTATTCATTGTTCTGGAGAAACTGATGAATCCCGCTCATGTGTCCTTTAAATAAAGTTAAAAACCATCAGTGAATCACTGTCACTAAAGAATGGTGGGATGGCTTTCAACAGGCTCCTCACATTATGTATACTGACTGGCCTGCTTTGTTAAACACACACAGGATCTCAGTGAAGAATAATATGCTGGAAGCTCATGGAAGTGAACCCTTAGAATAAAACTGCATCTCAGTGTTTACCCCAGCAGTGACTACTAGCAATATGTAATGAAGTGTTGAGAACTTTTTAGTGACAAGTAGTATAAATCTCTGCCAGGTAGGTAGTAGTAGCCATCTACTGGCATCAGAGAGTACTTGTATTGTTCCTAATTTCATTTCAGTAAAGTTGTAGTTACGTGCATTAGATGATTTCCTTATCAAGCAATTAGTAACGTGTATTAAGATTTGAAGTTCTTTTACTGCTTTCATTCTTACTGTATTGAAGATTTATTTAGAAAAAATAAGGTATGGATATTGCCCACCTTCTTCACTCTGGACTTCCAAAATTAGGAATTTTTTTCACAATAGTGCTGATATCCATAAAGATTGTATATTACCATCCAGATAGTTGTGTTGACATTCATAATAAATAAAATTGAGTAGGATTTTTAGGCCTTCAGCATTTTCAAGTGCTTCTGCTTTGTGTCTATAAAATCAGTTATTCATTTTATTTTTATTCTTTTACTTTTTTTTTTTTCCTCCTATGTGCAAAAGTTCGCTAGCTCCCTGGTTCTTTGGATTTCGTCCAAAGTTCTGGGGAGTTGTTGCCTGTAAAAGCATTCATGTGAGAGCTGTAGTGGTCCAGCACAGTCTATATTTAGCTAAACTGTTTTTCAACTGTTGATGAGGAAAGTATGCTAGGTATTCTATAAATATTCTTGGTTCTGTGTGGAGCTAAAAAATCTTTTCAGCACAGGAGTTCAGTTTGGGAATGGCAGCAGTTTTCCTGGACCCACTTCAATATAAAAGCAGGCTCAAAGCCTAACAGGTCTTTAGCTAGGACTTGATTTTCTGTTTAGAGCTTTGCCATTTCTTCTCCTGTTTGCATGCCCTTCAGGTGGAAAAGGTATAAAGGGGGTGATCCTCTCTCTCCTAGAGAATGTTACACATGGCACGTTCCTGTTCTTCCTGCTCAAATAGCTGAATAAAAGGTATATAGATGTAAACATGGCTAAACTCCGAACACTTTGCATTAGATATCAGGGCGAATGTGCCACCTTGCAGCATTCTTGCCTCTGATACAGAAAGAGGCCAGGTATATAGTAATTTGAGTTGTTTTTAGTATTCTCTCCCCAGTCCTAGCTGTGATGAAAGGCAATTGAGGACACTGACGCGATACGTAACCCAACATTCCGAAATCCCTAGAAGGTCTCTTTATGGAAGCAGTACTGCAACTCTTGATCTTTACAGGGCCTTCAAAGAGCATCTTAGCCCAGTGAGGTTGCTGGTGTGTTGCCAGAAATAGGAAAAGCATTAAGACTGAGAATCTGCTTCTGATTTCCATTGATCGAGGACTACGTTACCCTGGTGAAACCAAGAATAAAGTTTTGATTTTTCAGTGTGTGCTTTATGTGCCTTCCACTTCATGCTGCTTTTTCTATTTTTATACTGGGATGATAGCACAGCTGCAGTGAGGACTGAGATTGGCCGAGTGTTTAACAGCCAACCCTCTGACATATCAGAAAGGCTACACTTTGCCTTGGACTGTTTTGAAAAAGGATTCTTTTGGAGGATAAGGGCAAATCTAAGCTAAGGGTTCTGACCATTTCAAAAGTGGTATTTAAAAGTGATATTATCCAGTGTTGTCTTGAGGGTGCAATTTAAGAGAAAGAGACAAAATAAAGCTCCTTAATATGGCATAGTTAAAGAATGCAAAAGTCGAAGTGAGGACTCTACTGCAAGCTAGAGATTTTCTAATGTGGGGTAGCTTTCTCCTGGAGTAACTCATTGCTACTGAATGGCTAAAGGCAGTATGTTCTCGTCCCTGAACATAAGCTATACCTGCAAACAGCAAATTCATGTCTGTTCTTAACTACCCATCTGGGAATGTGTGCCGTGCACGTTTGTTGCTCTCTGCTTGATTCTTTAGATTGCTGTGGAAAGGTTTTTGTCCTGAGTAAAGCTGCTAGCTGATAGATCGAAGTACTTCAATGCCCACATACTTTTAAAGAGAAACAGAGGTCTGAAAGGAATGTCAAATGTTAGCAAGCAGTGTAGTCATGTGGCCTTTCTGAAAACTACTCTCCCTTAGCAAATCTTCAGTGGGCTCTTAACTCGCAAATGCCATGGAAAAATCAGATAGAGTGAAAGCTTCAGGAAACGGTTCCAAAAACATAAAACATCCCAATCATATTTCAGAAGCCTTTTCACTTTTATTAAAATGGAAGTCCAGATGAAACTGAAACTGCCATTTCTCTAGTGCCAGAAATGGGCCACAGATAGATCTAGTAGAGTGACTTTGGGTAGTTTGGTCCAGGAATGAATAAAAATACTTCTTAAAAAGCTTTCTCTTTGTTTCATTTATTTTTAGCCTCAACACAATGGAATATCTCCCCGAATGTTTAAGGCTTTTATAAGTAAAGGTCATCCAGAATTTTCTTCTAATAGACAACAGGACGCACAGGAATTTTTCCTACATCTTATAAATCTAGTAGAGGTGAGATGATCTGGATTATTGCTTCTTCTTACCTGCTTATATTAGGTAATGTGGACTGATATATTACATGAATGACTCAATTTTTTTAAATAGCTTTGAATATATAGACAACTGTACCAGTTTAAATGCATCTTGGTTTAGAAGCCATTTGCTTTATTTATTCTCCTTTCTCATTACTTCAGGCTCTTGCATGACCACACACAGGGCCAATGCTGCTGATACAACTGCAAGAGAGATAGAAAGGTCGAGCATCACTGAACGAGCTATAAGACTTATAAACATATGTGACTATCCTTTTAAATTACTGTTCAGTTCATGATTACATGCTATACATTTGTTTACCATACCAAAGTCTATCTTGGAATAGTAAATAGGTTAGGTATTATTATTATTCTGAATTTATATTGTCATCAAGAGCAAACTAGTCAGCATGTCCAGCTCCTTTGCAAATCCCAGCTGTGTGTCACCGAGTCGTTAAAGCGGGAAGGACTCCCCTGCCGAAAGCAGTGCCTATTTGTTAGTTGAACATTTCCATATAAAACGGTAGTTCCACTGAGTTCCAGTTCAATGCTGCTTGCGAAAGACGCAGTACTGTGAATCTTAATTCTGTCTTCCTGAAAATAAAATGTACAAAGACACCTAGTTTCGATTTAAAGCATTTTTTTTTCTTGTCCGTCCTTCCTCCCTGGTTTTCCCATTTGCCCAAGAATCAAGGTTGTTTATTCATGTATATTCACATTTGCATGCATGATGTTCCACATTCCAAAAACACATGTACTGATTATAGGGCAGTGAGAAAATATTTTTCAGTTTTTTGCCTGATAAACAGGCATTTACATGAACAATAAAGAGAGATTGTACTATTTGTATGACATTTCCCTTTGGATAATTAACTACACGCTGCTTGTCTGTTTCAGTGCAGGTTCAGCGTGCTATCCTATTTGCTAAAAGGATGCTCCATGGTATTTAAATGAGCTCTTTCTCTGTATTATAGCCTGCCACCTTCCTCGCATCTTCTGTTTGCTTTGTTCACTCGGTTGATCAGATTTGTTAGGTCTACACCCTGCAGTTTACTATGTGTGGGAATATACTGCTGCATACATGGACGCTGGGGATTTCAGTGGGGTTCTTTGTGGGAGCAGGAGTCCTGCATGAAATGAAATGTAAGCAGAGCTGTTAGGTCTGGGTGCAAGAATGGTGTCTGTGCTCACCGTAAAACAATCGGCATGCTTGGGCTTCTCTGTTCTTTTGAATGATCATCACTCAAGTGACTGACTCTGCTATTCCTTTCAGAGGAATCCTGTTGGTTCAGAAAACCCCAGTGATGTTTTCCGGTTCCTAGTGGAAGAACGCACGCAATGCTGCCAGTCCAGAAAGGTCCGCTACACAGAGAGGGTGGACTATATCATGCAGTTACCAGTTGCCATGGAGGCAGCAACAAATAAAGGTAAAGGAAGAAACAGGTCCGTCGTTTGACTTTCTGGTTACTCTCTCAGTTATGAGAGAATGAGGCTGTGACCTCCTGAACGTGCTTGTTGGTGGCAAATTTTATCAAGATGTTACCCATATGAGATTTTTTTTATACAGATACGATGGTTCAGGTCCGTGTGGTAAATCAAGCCAATGAGCTAATCTGAGGGGAAGGTTACTTTGTTGGGCTTTTAAGCGCCGCTTTTAACACACATCGGTTTGTGGCTTTAGAGTCCCTGCCTATATTTGTTGGAAAACGGGATTGTATCTGGATACTGTTGGCAAGCTTTTGAACAGATTTCTTCTGAAAATTGTGGGACCGGCAGAAGAGCCAGCGCTCCAGAACGCATCACCAAGAATTGTAGCAATTTGTGTGATAAGATGTCCGAGTCTCGTGATTACAAAACTTGTGATTTGAGCAAATACATTTATCGGCACAAGTTATTTACCTTTGTTTTGTGCACGTGCGTGCACGTGTACCCAGAGGTCCCAATTAGGATGCCTTTGTCCTAAAGGTCCCTTTGTCCTGGACAGTGAACCAGTATACAAAATACGTATATTTTTTCCTCTTAAAAAAGAGAAGAAGGAACTGAACGTACTAGCCCGTGAATATTGTGAAAAGCATGCTTTGTGTTTGTTAGAGACAGATTGTAAGCTTTCTAGTTTTACGATAAGGTATAGTATACAGAAGAGATATAGTCAGTTTGTCATCTATAAAGCCAAAATGTACCAACTGAGGATTATGAGCTTTAGGAGAGGTGGGAAGGAGGATGAAGTGGCAGACATCCATTTTATGTACAGAAATGTTTTTTCATGCATGTGAGCTGCCTGACAGCACATAATTGTTTTTAAAGGAGAAGGTGGCTGAGGAAGGCTAGAAGACTTGGAAGAGGGAGGGAGGAACTGACAGATGATGATTGTTTATGCAGTCAGTGGTAAAGCTGTGAAGAGTCTTACAGACCAAGATAATAACTGTATGCTCGATGTGGAAGTGAAGGGGACATCAGAGGAGCACTAGAAGGAGGATAGAATCTGGAAATTGGCTTGACTGCTTCTTGTTTCCTTTATAACCTCTATATTTAATAGATTTTAAAGAAAAAAGGAGCTATTCTTATAATTTGATCAGAACCTCTGAAATAGCACAAGGTAGACAATTTCCTTACCGCTTTTCACCTTACACATAACTCTTTGAACTGGGCGATACGTTTAAGAGACCAGTTTGATTTGAAAATTTAAGTTCTGGTGAATTTCTCATTCTTTATTCATCAGTGTCAGTAATGGTTCTGTTGCTTATAGAAGAGCATCTTATAATAGCTCAGGAGTTATATCAGTTTATGAATTTACCATATGATGCTGCTCATCTTGTCAGTGTCGGGACGCTATCTAGATCATAGAAAACCCTGTCGTGTCTAGAACACGAGATGGCAGAGATAGACCGCAATCATTTTCCAGGTCAGATAGAGCTAATAAAGTGGATTGATGATATTACTATAAATACGAGATTGTGGTTGTCACGGCAAGGTTTTAATCACCTATCCCCAAGTATTTCAAATTCTGTGTTTTCACCGTGAGCAGAAATGTGGTTTTAAGCGTGGCTCCCTCACCCCAATATAGACAAAAAGCTTTGATGCCTAGCTAGAGCCATGTAGAAGTTTTTATTGGGAGTTGGACTTTGTACTTCTAATACTTGCAAAAATAACACCGCAGAGAGGCACATCGCAGCCATGAACTCTCATTTAGTTCCTTTAGTTTTTAGTGTCATGTATGTTTCTCAGATGAATTAATTGCCTATGAGCTGAAGAGACGAGAAGCAGAAGCTGCTAGGAGAGCCCCACCAGAGCTTGTCCGTGCCAAGATCCCATTTAGTGCGTGTCTGCAGGCCTTTTCTGAACCAAACAATGTAGATGACTTCTGGAGCAGCGCCCTTCAAGCAAAATCTGCAGGAGTCAAGTAAGTGTCTGGCTACCTATTAAAAACCTGTATGGTAGTGCTCTGCGCTTATCTTGCTACCTGGATGTGACACAGTGAGGAACAGACAAAGGCACAATGCGCTATGGGATTCTGTTGGTGCTGGGGCTCGTAAACATTATGTGCAGATCAACCCTGGCGAGAGTCGTAATGATCAACTGAGCAGGAACTAAATTGGTCTCAACTGTCAAGCTCCAAGAGATGATGTGGTGTGGTATCTTTTGACTTAATTGTCTGCCCACGTTTTAAAATAGGATACCGTGAATTAGCTAGTGCTAAAGCTCTGTATTTTGCCGTAAAGATACGTAGTCTGCATCTCTGTGCTTGGTCTCTTGATGTTATCCTATGACTAAAAATACTGAAGGGCATTGTGTGGCGACAGAACAGAGTGAAGTGAACAGAAGTTGTACTTCTTGTGTAAGCAGTTTCTTTAGATGGATGGAGATGTTTGCATTTGCAACATGCTATGCTGAAAACTTTGTTTTTTATTATGTTATGTTATATGTTATGTGTGTCTGGATTTCAGCACATCCACCTCTGCATGCTACAGTGCTTGGTTGCATCTATTAAGCTTGATTGCTGTAACTTGTATGAGGCCATGGTACAAGATGGACATATAAAAGAAGGAACATACCTGATGTTTTTATATTCAGGTAGATAAAAGACATAACCAAGAGCATCTTGGACTTAGAAAGCATTGAGAAGAGATAGGACAGCAGGTAGAGGTCAGTACAATTTTCAGGGGCAATATTTCTTGATCAGAACAAGAGTTAGTCCCCTGTCAGGTTTCATTTTTGTATTTCAACAGCAAGGTGTGGTTGAAAACTGGGCTCTGCAGCTGGTTTGCTATGGCTGGGTACTTGGGTATTTTTAAATCACTTAACGTATCGATGGCTCGTTGCCCTCTTAGTGTACAGTTTCACTGATGACGTTGTATTGAAAATAGGGAGGCAAGTGCACTTGACAGTGAGAATGCAGCAGAACTCTAAAGGTTTATGTATTAGCTGTAAATATATATGTTGCAAGAATATCCTAGTATTTAAATAGATCTAGGATTAGTTTATAGTTTAACTCTTCCTCATCCCCAAAGAAGATTAAGAAGAATTTGTCTGTCTTGTTTAAAATTCAACGTTTTCTACTGCAGATCATAAATTTACTAAAACTGCAAGGTGGAGAGAGCTAGAATATAGAAAGTTTTAGGAAGTCTTTAGAAAGTATTACACAAGGAAGGGATTATATTAGTGATACGTTTTACCGTATTTTATCCAGTGTAAAGTTAATTAGAAAAAAAGGATGGTATATGCAAATGTAAGGTAAAAAGGAAGGGTGCAGGAGTCTAAATTGGGAAAAATGTCAGCCTGGAGAATGGGGTGCACATAATGTTACGCTGTGTTCAAGACTAATTCTCATCTCTTCAGAAAGCAGGCAAAAATCAGGGGTCCCCTTATACTCTGGACTCATTCTCTCTTTGGGGAAGTTTCACAATAGTTCAGTAACAATATCGTGTAGATATTTTATATGGCACTTACACATGAAAAACTCAACGTGACACCTTTGTTATCTTTGATTGATTAAATGCTTTAAAGATGGACTGATACCTCATGGATAGTGTTGCTGTTATTAGAAAAGCAATTTTAAAAAATACAGATTTCCTTGTTATTACATTCTGTACAAGCTCCATTTTAAGACCATGCCCTAAAATTCCACCCAATATGTCATTCAAAATTTACTTCCCAACATTCAACTTAGGAACAACTTGTGTAAACAAGTTTAACTTGTTACTTGCAGTTGTTTTCTCTGCTCTTCCTATAAACAGAACTTCTGTGAAGGTTTGGACTGACATTCATTACATGAATGTATAGAAAGCAAGTGCTGCTACTGTACCTCTTCACTGTACTTGAAAACATACTCTTTTGTGAAACTTAGGTTCTCACTTATGTTTATAAAATCCATCACCATTTGTCTCACTCTGGCATAAAGTTACTCATCTCAGTCTGCGTGAGGTATTGAAATATGTGTTTCTTGAGATTTTTGTTGCCTTGCTTCACTGAATTTTAATTCTTGTGCTTCCCAGAACTTCTCGTTTTGCTTCATTTCCCGAGTACTTAGTGGTACAGATAAAGAAGTTCACCTTTGGCCTTGACTGGGTACCCAAAAAGCTTGGTATGTGCCTTTTATGCTTACCTTTTTCTTATTCTGTCCAAGATATCCTGTAATGCCTATTTACACGTCCGTATACACACATTTATAATGAGGACCTGGTTTGAGTCGTCATTGTTGTCTTTACCTTTATTTTAAGTTAAGATTATGGTAGAGTAAACTAAACTATCAGGTGTATGGAGTTAAAAGACAGGTTTATGTAGTCTGACCTCTAGTTAAATTGTGCTTTAGCATTCCGAACTTCTCAAATAGCTGTTTTCAGCAAGAGAATTCTGACTGCGTGTGTAGCTTGTGGGTCAGAGTCCTCTCTCTGAAGGGGTAGGTTTGTGCCATGTGGTCGTTTTGCTGAATTCATAACCTTAGCCTGTTCCTCTACTTCTGTAGATGTTTCTATAGAGATGCCAGATATACTGGACGTCAGCCATCTAAGGGCCATGGGTCTCCAGCCGGGAGAAGAGGAACTTCCAGACGTTGCTCCTCCCATTATCATTCCTGATGATCCTAAAGGTATTGACTTCTGTTTTCCTGATCTCACCCTTTATCCTTTCACCCTCTAGCACATACTGATTCCCCTCCGTCTTAACCTTTTGGAGCTGCAGATAAAAAGCAGTTCTGTGATTCTATAATTGAAGACTACTTTATCTCCCCACAGCCTTTCCTTCTTCTCTCCTAAATAGCCCTGGTTCTTCTAGCTTTGCTGTTTGGATGTTGTTTTCAGGATTTATGATTGTTGTTGTTGCTTTGGACTTTTTCCAGGTAGTCCATATCTGTTGGAAATTGCTATACCTGAAGATAGAAATCGTACTTTGTGAAACAGATTATTTCACTTGCTTTGCTGGCTGTAGTCTCCTACTTATCTTGCCTGGCTGTGGTTGCCTTGGTTGCAACCATGATACTGTTCAGTGGAGATCTGCTTGTGCTGCATAAAATTTTATCTTTACATGCAGAATTACTCCATATCTTTTATTTGCGTGGGTGATTATCCTTACTTAAGGATGAAGTCCTTGTGCTCATCCTTATTGAACCTTTGTTGGTGTTTAGGACTTAAATGGCTACAGGAGAGTCTGAAGACCTCTAGGTTGATTAAAATCAGCCGCATTCAGACAGCAATGACTTTCAGTGCGTTTTCATGATTCCCTTTCAGTAAAGTCATTGCGTGCTTCCCAAAGCCTGGTGCAGATAACTTCGCCTCAGAACCCTACACGGGGTCTCATGACAGGTGTCAGAAGGGGAGTGGAGCTTTAACCTACTTGTTTCTTAGGAGGTGTTACTAAATTGCTATTATTTGAAGAGCACTCTTGTGCTAAAATTTTTTTAAAGCCTGATGATAGTTTAGGTAGTACTGTAGCTGAATCAGCTCATGTCACTCCCTTGTGTATAGAATGGGGTCCTTCCTGGTCTGAAGGAAGTTCCTTACCAAGGCCTATTCTTCCTTCAGACCTCTTGCTCAATGGACTGACCTAGTTTTAGTTTAAGTGAATGGATGATAGTACCTCATTTAAATGGATTCTTGCTTAAGTCTATTTAGGTCAGTCATCAACTCTTATTTCCTGCTGGTTTATTGTACCAGTGTTGCTTTGCTCTATGTTGAGTTAAGGAAATTACTGGGCAGAAATGTCCCTAGTCATATTCAGGGCAAAGCGCGAGGAGTGCAACGATGTTCATGTACTGCCTGTATGAGATCAAATGTTTCTATGACTTAAAAATACAAATTTTGTTCTCTCTCGCATGAATGTTCTCAGTCTTCACGTAAGTCATTTACTCCCTTCCCCCCTTTTTTCTCCTTTCTCAATTTTCAGATCGTATAATGAACCGTTTTGTGGAGTGTACGTATATCATTTTTCTGAGAGTGACGTTTCAGCTGTTCAAACAAATTGCCTTGCTTTTGCTCAGTTAACGGCTGCTCTGTCTTCATAGAGATGTGTGAAGGTGTGCCCTGCACGCTTCTAAGTGGCACTTGGCTTTTGTACTTGGTCAGCATTTGCTTGCGTGCGTACTGGACTACTAAGAATCTGTAGTAGCATCAGTTTTGCCGAAGTGTGGGCTGTTGCTCTATCTGTAGTTGTTTTGAACATGAAATCTGATATACTTCTGTATAGCAAAAGAGTTGTTAGCAGATTGGAAGATGCTAAGTCACATATAGGTTTTGATTGTATTTTAACTTCAACTTTGCAGTCTTTTATTGGAGGAAAGACACTATTACTCTATACCTATACCTGTATCTGTAGCAAGTAGGTTTCTTTTTAGATTTAAAAATTAAATTTATTTACACATACATAAGGTAAGACTGAAGTTAATAGAAGGGTTTCTGCTAGCTCCATTGGGTTTTGGACAAAGCCTTAAATTAGCAGTTGGCTGAGTATGTTGAATGCCTACTACCACCTCTCTAGGCTTGAAAACTCCTTCAAGTTCTATATAAACTGTTGTTGAAGAGAAAAGATCTGGTTTTAACTTTCATTTCTGACTCTGCTGTGCTTCTACATTGAAGTTACTGTGATTTTAGCAGAAACTTATTTCAATTGAGATTTGTAGGCAGAAGGAGCTAGAACTGCTGTACAAAAAGGGCAAGTTACCTCATGGAAACACCCCTTTGACTCTGGTACGCTGCTAATTCCCAGACAGAAGAAAGAGTGCACTTTATGTTAAACGTCAAGTCCTTTCTAAATGGGTCTTAATGAGAAAAGAAAAACTATGCATCTTTGTCGTTTATTGGTCGTCATGCATATCTGTCCTTCTCTAAGGAGATTTGCATGATTATTTCATAATAATTTTAAATTAACTATTAAACAGCAGAGATACTATTTTGTGGTTAACTTTGCTTTTTTTTCTTTTAAACTTTTGTATTGGAGTGGTGTTCTGTGCTTCACTGTTAGTGTCAATGGCTATAAACATACTTACTTCAGAAATCTGTATCTGAAAAGTATTTGCAGAGCATGAGCAATAGCTTCTTTTGACTTTTGGCAAAAAATCAGTAGTGTATATGTAATGATTTATGCTGGAGTCTAAATGGAGTCTCAAGTGTAATCCGGTCCTTCTCCTGTTGCTGTTAGTATGTTTTTTGCTGCATTTTTAGCAGGTAGGTACACCTGTAATGTGTCTTTTTAGTATTTGTTCTGTTAGAAACTTTTATTCTTACCAGCGGTATTTCTACACAAGATGTTTTCTGCGCTACTTCCAATGGCAATTTATCAATGAGACAGAGAGAGAGAGAGAGGGAGAATACTGAGAAGATCCTTGTAATAGTGTTCCATAGTGTCGGCACTTCTGTCGGGACAAATTGATTTTTCTGTGCCGGCAGAGTCAGTGGCAGAAATACTGCTCTAAGCTAAAAAGCCCTGGAAGAGGCAATGTTGAAGTGGGGTGCTGTGTGACAAAGCGAGGTACCACCTGTCCTGGGGAGGAGGAGTGACTGGGTTTCTGTAGGAGTTCAAAGGAGAGCAGGCCTGAGCAGGACTCCCCTCTGCAAGATGCTGCTGATCAGTGGGATGTTGCGGTTCTGGGGGTCACAGCTGCTTGATCCTGGCTCCTTCTGGACTCTGATCTCAGCTGAAGCTGTCAGCCTGTCACTCAGAGATGAAGTTGAATTGGAGACTGCTAGATCTAGCAGCTGTTGTTTCTCTTACCTGGAAGGTCCTGCCTTTGAGAGATGATTGCTTTTGGTCCCACCTCTAGATGAGGTCAGTACATCACATCGCCAGCCACCCTCTTGAAATCTAGGGGTGAGTTTTGTATAAATAACGTCCTGTAGGAATTCATCAAGGTTTAGGGATCTGAATAAATTACTGAGACAAAAGATTATCAGTAAATCCACAACAGAAACCTACAATGCTTTGCACAAGGCTGCTTTCTAATGAGTGTTGGTTTATTCCAGTACTAAAACAAATCCAAGTGGTATGTAATATGGCACCATGAATGATAATGAGAAATACTATAAAATAGAGGGAATTAGACTTTTTTATTTTAGAGTGTTCTTTCTTGCAGCTTTAGATATTGATGAGTCTGCAGTTATGCAACTGGCAGAGATGGGTTTTCCTTTGGAAGCATGTCGGAAAGCCGTATATTATACAGGCAACCTGGGTGCTGAACTGGCTTTCAACTGGATCATTGCACACATGGAAGAACCAGGTCAGTGGTCAGAAGTTGTAAGTTAACTCCTGTTTCTGCGTCTTGGCAGCAAGTACAAATTCTATAGCGTGTGACAGAGAAACGATGGTCCCTTTCCCTGCCCCAGAAAACGTGGAGCTGTGAATGATATGTCCCAAGCTGTTGCTACCATTATTTAGCATCCTCATCAGAAGTGATGTCTGCTGTCCTCACTGATGGTGTAGGACAGCTCTCTGTTTTCTACCCTTCGGTTAGGTCTGTGCTGCAAATGTGCCCATTTGTGAGTACACAGAGTCCTATGGCCCGGATGCTTTTCTTTCATATCAGCTTTCCCTAGTTCAGGCTCAGAGCATTCATATCATACTTAGAACAAGCCCAACTTGGTGTATCTACTGATGGACAGGACTGCTCTCTCTCTCTCTCTCTCTCTCTCTATATATATATATATATACACACACATATATATACACACATATATATGATCTCCCCTTTCTGCGTCTCATCCATGCAAAGTTTGGGCCGATGATTCAGTCCTGAGCGCTCCGTCTCCCGGGAACTCTGGATTTGGTTGAGGTTGCGCTTCAGTGTCTGCTTTTGTGTTGCCTGTAAAAATGGAGAAGGAGTTTGATCTGGGCTTCACTGACACATCACTTGAGCTATGGACTTGAAGTTTGTTTAACATCTATATGTGTATCAGCTAGTTGTCTGCTATTCCGGTGTTGTCGTTGCTTCCATATGAACCTTTGCTGTTTTGCTGCAGTTTCACTTTTGGGACGTGCTTAGTTGTTCCAGCCTGCTCAGTGTGAGACTGTCTACCTAGATATTTTGCAACGTACGTGTTCATCTTGCTATTTTTAAGGCTATCCACACACCTAAGTTCCAACTGGGCCAGCAAAATGAACTCTACGTTGATTTTGGGGTTGCTTTTGAGGTCCTGTTTGTTGTTTGTTTGTGTTGGTTATTGACTTCTCAATACAGTGAGATGAAAGAATGAAATGATGAACGTTTATTTGTTCCAGACTTTGCAGAACCATTGGCCATATCTGCTTTTGGAGGGGTTGCTTCCACTGGAGCGGCTGGTTTAGGAGCTGTTGGACTAGATAACCAACCTCCTGAGGAGATGGTTGCCATTATCGTTTCCATGGGCTTCCAAAGGAATGTAGCAATTCAAGCACTGAAGGCGACAGTGAGTTGCATGAGTTATTGGTAATGTTTAGGTTTTGTTCGTATGATACGCTTTGCGCGTGTGCATGCTGGAGCCTGCGAAATATGCCTATGAAAGTCAAATCCAGATAGTGGATGATGCATATGGAACCATTCTGGCAAAGCAGGATGCCTGGCTTGGTTAGGTTGGGGGAGGGTGACTTATGGGTTTCACATGAATGTGAAAATGGGAGGGGAAAGTGAGGAGAACTTAACTTCTACCATCTGTTGAGAAACATCCTGGCTGCCTAAGGACTATGCATCTTGAGGATGCGAACCCTGGGGGCTGTGGGGAATAGTTGTGGGAGGATTTCATTGCCATCTGTCAAGCTGTTGCCGAGTGCAATACTGAAAACTCTTTCCATGGAGGTAGAGTATATGCCTTATACCTTTCAAGTGCTGTTGAATATGTTCCTTATTCTGTTCAAAGACCAGTATATAAGTGGTAGCATGATGCTAGAGAGGGTATTAAAGGCTGCGCTTTTGCTTGTTTGACTCGCAGAACAATAATTTGGAGCGCGCACTGGAATGGATCTTCAGCCACCCTGAGCCTGAGGAAGAAAGTGAGCCTGCTTTGGACATGATGGCTATGGAGAATAATGTTAATGCCAACATCCTCGCAGTGACAGGGTCGGAGGAAGCCAGGATCAAAGACGGGCCTGGAAGTAAGTTGTCCTTCAGCTTAGCATTGGTTATTGTGCTGTTGTATCACACCTATACCGTTCATAGAGCTCCCTTCAGTTTTGAAAGTGGTCCTCGTGTTTCCTGGACACGATCCAGACAATTTACTCCCAGTCCTGCTTTTGAAGCTGAGCCTGGCTCTATGAGGCTGCAATGCTCTGTGGGCTGTGTTAGTACTCTTGCCCTGGACTTGTTGTACAACCTGAGCCCAAATTTCTTGTTGCCACAGTGTGAAAGTCTCTCCTGCCCTTGCTTTAATTTTTCTTCTGCTGTTATGAGATAAAAATAGGATAAAGAAAAGCAACAGTGTTGAATTCCCTTAAGGCTGAACATCCCAAAGATAATGCTGCTGTTACAGACCACCTGAGTGTGTGTGGCCCTGTGGGCTGATGGGGAATTTGATAATCCCTTGAACCGAGTTACAGATTATACCTACCAAATGTAGATCCTGCATATGTTCATGTACTTTTGGATGATGATATTTTTCTCTGAGATAAGTCATGGCTCTTACCACTACTACTGCTAAACAAACCACAAGATGGGGCTTTTGTACAGCGGTCGAAGCTGTGAAGTAGGCAAAAAAACTATTTTAGGTCTGAGGGCACTACAATACAACAGCGGAATGGTCGTCTTAGGATAAAGATAATACATAACAATGTTTTTTAAAGGGTCTTTAGTCGCCTGTTCTAATAACTGTAGTGTGTATGTTCTACACTTGTCCCTTATCTATCTTGGCTTTAATGGTCTAAAAAATTATGAACAAGCAGTTTGATTTTGTTTCTATGGTTGCTATGATTATATCAGAATGCTCATTTCTTTGTTTCTGACATTATAAAGACCAACCTTAAGTCTCTTGGAGACATGGGAAACATTGATTTTTCTTAGGTAATAAAGATTTGCAATAATTATTTTTTATGGTACTTAGCCTTTATAGACTGAGACCATTTATTGAGTGCCTGAAATCCTGATAACCAACACGATACTGTAAAATGGCTCCAGAATGCCCTCTCCACCAAAATCCAGGCCTCTGTCCTTATGCAGTACCCTGAAAGAAGGTACCCTTTTACTCTCCGTGATAATCTTGGTGAATGTTATGAATGGGTGGGGAGCAAGAATGAATGCTGAGTTCTCTAGAGGTCTGAGCACAAAAATTGTCCCCTTACTAAAGGAAGAGGTTTCTTTCCTGTCCTCTCTTTTATGGGCTGATGAAGGTTAGCATTTTCGTTTTCGTTTGATTTATAGGGGACTTGTGATCACATTCGTGAACGCAGCTAATTTGTGTGCAGAATGAGCAACGTATCTGGCACTTCACATGGTGCTCTCTGTGAACTGGGAATGAGTTGCTGCTGCTTTCTCTCTCATAGCAGTGTCTGTGATCACAGCCCTGCTGTATGCGCACAGATCTTTGTGGGTTTGATTTGGGTTATGTTAATGTTTGAGAGTGAATGTGAGTGCTATGTAAAGTGCACAAAGTACAGCCATGTAAACTATGGAGGTGCAGAGTCTGATTCAGGCGTGCTCAAGTGCTTCTCTAGTTTTAGAAAGAAAGGGTTTCCCTGGCTCCATGTTGCAGTGTTAGCAATGGAAGACTTAAGCTCTCATTTGTATCTGTCAAACAGGATATGAGCTGTTCGGGTTCATCAGCCACATGGGAACATCTACAATGAGTGGCCACTATGTTTGTCATCTCAAAAAAGAAGGAAGGTGAGTGGAACTGGGAGAGAAATACAAGGATAAGTTCTTTGTAACGTGCATCTATTTAGAACAGGTTGTTCTGCAATGCAGAGTAAACTCGCGTGTTGTTACTATGTGTATGTTCCCCACCGAGGAAATGAAGGTTATGAATGTTTTGAAGGGAGGTTGATTTTTGTTATTGATTGCCTATGTGCTGAGTCTGCATTATTTATGCAAGATCTATGCTGATACCTACCATTGTCTCTCCTACGCTTGCTAACCCAAAACTCTGTTCCTCTCACTTTGGGGCATCTGTTCTGTGCCTGGCTTTATTTATTTGAGCTTCCCCCAACTTCCTCTCGCTCCTCATCAATAGAAACCCATCAAACTGTGGCCTGATACTAGTACTAGTAACGCTAGTACTGTGGATCTTGGCTGGTACACAGACCTTGGCTGTGGTTTTGGTCCGTTCCGATTATTTGGCATTAGACATCCTTGATTCTCCTTCATTTAAATCCTGACTACGCATCCCTCTGTACATCACTCATCCTTTTCAATTGCTGACTCTGCAGGCAAACCTGCTTCAGCTGTTTCTCTGTCCTTTTGCTCTTGTTGCAATACCTAAATTTAGATTTTAAGCTCCTTGAAGTTTGGGTCTGAGAAGTGTCTGATAAACTCTGGATGATTTTTATGCATGTGGAATTTAATCAATCTTGTTTTTGTTTCAGATGGGTGATCTACAATGACCTTAGAGTCTGTGCCTCAGAACGACCTCCCAAAGACCTGGGCTACATTTATTTTTATCACAGGATACCAAGTTAGACCTCAGATCTATTATCTGGCCTTAAGAAAGCATAGCCTTTTTAACCTACCAAAAAAACATTTAAGAAAAGATAAAATCTAAAACAAACAAAAAAACTAGCCCTTGGACTGCCAAAAGCAAAGGAAAACATGGGATATTTGTAAGTTGTCTAAAAACAGTCAGTTGATGCCTTCTTAAGTGTTAGAGGGAAGATTTCTATTAGGAGATGTACAGTAGGTTGTTTTAAATTTATATACCTTAAAGGACACCTTAAGACCGTGCAGATTACTAGTGTAGTCTGCAGCTAGTGTAGGAATGGGGAAAACGGGTGGTTCAGAATTAAACAGAAACAAGTCATTTCAGCCCAACTCTTGCCTGTTCAGTCCACGTGTCCTTTGAAGGCCTTGAAGAAATACTTGTGTGTGTGGTAACTGGGAGCCACTGCTTTCAATCAGAGTCCAGACCACTTGGGGAAATCATACCCCATATGAAGTGGAAGGGAGGGGATCTGTGACTGTCCTTCAAGGCAGACTATGTCTCATTTGAGATACTGTTTTCATTACAGTAAGAAAAGTTGACTGTAGCTATATCTGTTGGAGTTCAGTCATATAGTGTTTTGTTTTGCATTTTTGATGCCTAAACTTAACAACCTAATGGAGATGGAAGTGGTCTCCTGTCAGTGACATGTATGTTTTCTGCCAAAGAGAAATAGTGGGGAGATCTCTCCATCTTCTCTTGAATTTTTGTTGTGCGTTTATAAGTTCTTCCAACAGATTAAGGATTACAAAATGGCTAAAAGAAGCACTGACTTTAAATGCATGCAGCTCAGGAAGAGCAAGACTAATATTTAACTTTATTCCCCCCCCC